TGTAAACATTTCTGTGATAATTCATATCAAAGCTGTTAAATGTGGATAGAAGTATAAAGATTTGAAGCTGTTCTTAAATTACCCTCTGGATCAATCCCCGACATCATCCGGAAAAAAAAACCACAGTTCCAGTTTCGTAATTACGCTGACATTTTGAGGATTGCGGAAATCAGTCCTGTAGCTCTTGTGTTCGCAATTCGAAGGGATTAACATCCAAATTTAAGTACTGCTCTGGAGCGATGCACACCGCAAAAAATGAGAAATATTCATTATTGTCACTTAGTGATGTGATAAGAAAGAAAATATGCCAGGTCTATCTTTGCGAATTGATGTGTTCTCAGTGCTTCTCAATTTTATCTCAATCACATCTCAATGCTTCCATTCAGATAAATGGAAATGACCAGTGCTACTGATTATTTTCGCAGCCGATTCATCGCTTGACCTCTGACTGAAATACAAATCACATTACCAAGTCACCACAACTTGTGATGTAAGATCAGTTCATTCACCTCAGGTAGCTTCACTAGAAAACTATCCGACATACTTCGGTATTACTGATCTGATCTCCGTTCACAATTGAACGATCCTCCGGGGTCTCCGATGCATCACCACTTAAGGCTTTCCAAAGTCTACAGATCGCAACCGTCCGTATTTTCATCCGTATACCAATATGAAGCACACCAAAACATTAAGATCTTGACCCTTGATGGACAGGTTGATGTTACACAGGCGCCACTGTTTATACTCATTTCTTCCGGATCTTGGATTATTGCAGCTACAGACAACCTTTTCTACTACCTCAATCGACTCACCTGAAAGAATGATTCTCACGTTTGAGCCCACTTAGTCTTGTAGAAGCACCATATACTTTGCAAATCTGAAGCGACCATTAAACGATGAGGCAGAATTACCTAGAGTGCCTAATATTGTTCACATTTTCTCGAGGTCAGTTCCAAGAACAGTTATATCCTCTGCGTACTCGATAACTGTGAACAAGCGTTCTAACAGCTTTTTGAGTTTAAATCTTTCATGACCATATCCATGATGACGTTAAATAGAAACAGAAAAGAAGACAGACTCACCCTCTCCCACTAAATTGAGTGAACTCAGCTGAGAGCCTACAATATTCTCTCACTCACCTAAGGAGATCGACATGGTGAGGATGGTCAAAAATTTTATTTGCAATTTATTTGCAAAACACGTTTGCTGCATAGAAATTCTAGTAGTGCCCTATGATCAACAGACAAAGGTAGCCTTCAGGTCAAGGAAGAGGGCTATCTTTGGTGACTGGATGCAATTCCGCCGTCTCAGAATTTTTTGAAGAATGAACAAGTGGCCAGGGCATCCTCTTGCAGGACCTCCACGGACCTCCCACGCTGCATGTTCAGCACATAGCCGAAAGGGGAAATACAGCTCCTTTGATACCCGCATCCACGCTACACCAATACAATCACGGTTTCCCGTGGTGTTCACCTAATCTTCTTAAAGCTATGCATGTTTATTGATCTGTCCAAATCTGTGAACTCATTGTCGTCCTTATAGCACCAGTATGCCTTATCAGGTGGCTAGCCAGGGATTCTCAGCCTTCTTTGAACCGGGCTGCATGTAAACTGTCCGGTTATGGTGCCTTATAGCTCCACATAGAAGTTATGTCGTATTATATTTCTCTATTTTTCCGTATCCATCTACATGAATGCACTGTCTCCAAGGTCTAGACGGTAGCTAACAGAAGGCTAGCCAAGCTGTTCTTCAAAGTGTGTAAATACTCCTTCTTATTGTTTTCTGGGAGTGAACTACTATAATATCTTTTTTCACGTATCACTTCACTGGCTGTTGCTTTTAACCCATTCGATCGAGCTAGACGGTATGGGGTGTCACTAGTTCTACGTTTGCTGTTTTCAACGTTTGTTGTCCATGGAATTGGTCATTCTTCAGCCTCTCACCGCTTGACGCTTGACGGATTGGTGTGCGACGTCATATTCATTTGCTTGCTGTTACGGATATAATGGTACTATTTAAATTTAGCAATGTCGGCCACATTCAGTGATCATTTGAATATATCAGGAAGATCAAGAGGACAGATCTGAACGCCGTCAGCGTCCCTTCAAATTTTGCCATGATTAATTGGCTTGTAGCTTATCAATACTATGTTGATTCGTTGCAGACACTAACTGAATTAGTTGAGATGGAAATGGTGAGCTATGGTAGATTTCCAGAAATGAAAGATGGGCATACGTCTTTTTGCTCGGCAAAGATTGTCAGGCAGGCTCATCAGGAACAAGATGTGTGACGCAGAAAAGGCGTCAGCATTCAGTGTGACCTTCCAGTGGTGGTTTATAGCAGCGTCACCTAACTAGGTCAATGGGTCCGTTTGCACTGGATTGTCGCCGGGTAGTATGTCGCCACTGTTTGTGTTAAAAATTCGTAGTGCGTAGTAACAGCTGAGTATCGGAGAAAAACTGGAATGCTCGCTCACCTTTTTCTGTGCAGTGAACGTTGACTCTTAACTGACCATCCAGATTTGATCGCCAGGTACTCAGGCAACTTGTCTGTGCATTTATATCACTCGCAATGATGATAGGGTCATTGCTTGACGAGTCTGTTTGGAAAATTTCGGTAAAAAGCGCCTTTCTGGGCGTCAGAAATCTGGTCTGTTGGGACAATGGTAAACATCGGAGACGCACTGATTTTTGTATTAACTGGTAGTGAGCCTGATTGAGCTGGATAACCGAACAGCGCAAAGACGACCATTAACTGGGATCCAATCCAACAAAGCGCTTTCTACCTTGGGTCTGGAACACCGGACACATGGGGGGAGAAATCTGAAAGAGCTGAGTTCGTCTTTGGCGTTTTGAGATTCATTACCACGCTTGGGCCTTGTATGCATGTTTCGGAGACGGGAGATATCAATTTCAAGGGAGTATAAGGTATCAGCGAGCATTGCCTGTTTGCCAATTTGACATAGATTATGGACGTTAAAACTCCCATATTAGAAAGGATATCGTGAATTTGGAAAGGCGTTATTTTGTTTATTGTCGATAGGCAGTGGGGTGCATAAGGCCCACCGGTCAGATAACGGACATATATCCTAAGGGTCATCACTCTTATTTAGTCACTCTAAATACACAACAGTATCAATATCCAAAGAGTGTAAGGTTCGTGCAAGCATTCCATGTCTGCCAGTCTGACGCAGTATGATGTATCAGATATGTTTTTGCTGTAAATGGGCAGCAGGTTGCAAAGGTCACATCAGATGGATAAGTGACAATCAAATTTTTCGCCTCGCCGCCACGTATTTCCTTGGTCACTGGCTAACTACTTGTCATTTCTCTTTTGGTCATCGTCCTTGCTAGTTTCCTCAAACTTCCACTCAGTCTGGTGGGAACCTATTCACCTGGCTGTGTAGAGCTTGTAGTTGGGTTTTAAATGCACCTATTCCTATTTATTTTCGCATCAGGAAGTTATGGTACTAGTAAAGAGAAAAAATTGGTTAGATGCCTAAAAGATTTTGTTTCTTCGGTTTTCCGGTGTCAAATAATTCTTACTATTTACTGTAAATTAGAGACACTGTTCTACGTGATTAGAATCAATTTCAATATTTTCGTGTGAGGGCCACGTTTGTGGATCGGACTTTGATTTGACAGCCAGGCTTTGGTCATCATTCCTACTCTACGAAGGGTAATGGAAGGAAACCACATCCATGTTCGTTTGCTGACAGCAACACCATTGCTAATGTAATGTAAAATTACCCGTTTTTCAGGGCTTCTGAATGCTCCCAAATACGAAAGTAATTGTGGCCTTTTACGCAAGCTGGATGGGTGCGTAATCTTCACGAGTGTACGAAGAGACTGAATAAAGACCACTCAATGACCAAGCGGCCAACCCGTTGCTTCCGTAGCCATTTCAACTATTATCAGTAATACCTTCACTGTGTCAAAAATCTTCAAAATCCCCATTGTTTCTAATCTGTTCAGGGATGTTGAAATAAACCAAATAGCTTTAAAAACGTTAAATTCACTTTCCGCATAATGTGATTATCTATGAAGTCTTGACAATTACAGCAAATGTGTTAGCAAACAGCGTGGCGTTAGTGTACTTGTGCAACACAGCAACACTTAAAATCACGTGCGATGAAGACCGATCAAACCAAAGCAAACAGTCTTGTTCATAGTGTACGATGCACTGCATGACTTGCTGTTATATGCATAAATCACGGGAGAAAACTATTTGTAATATATTCAGCATTAGAATGCATTACCCTGCGTTGTTAAGTCAGTTTGGTGACCACATTATAGCCAAACTTCAATTTCGAATATTCCCTTCCGCAACGGCTACACAGCTACGAAACTTCCCATCCCGTATTCTTCTTTTCTTTTTATTTCGTAGTAGAAGTGGCTTAAAACAGCCCAAGTTTCTTGTTCTTGTTTCACTGAAGAGTGGCTGTTATGCTTATTTGTATATTAATCGATCTTGCGGGAAATGTCTGTTACAGAGGTTATCAGTTTAATTGCTAGCCAAATAGCGAGCAGCTTTTTTCTCCTTGTTCTCGCGTGAAGTGTCAAAAGCTCCATTTTCCCCCAAATATTATTTTATTCCAAAGAAGTTTCGTAACCATTTCACAGTGGTTGTATTTCTGCGGATCTCAGTTTGATCGCTTGATGATTTCAACCAAAACATACACTTCGAAAACAGGTTTATATAATCCCATTATCCAAGACAAGCCTACACATTGGAATGTGCCATTTCAGTGGATGGGTCTCAATATGATTTCAGCTTCTGAAGCTACCCTTTCCCCAGTTTGTTTCAGTAGAATGGTCTATTTCATCCTTCCTATTTTGGGCATTTTTGAGGATTTCAGAATTTGGATATGAGTGAATCTGCGCAGTGTCGTGTGTTGCATTGGTTTGGCTTCTGCTCGCAGCTCAGCACAGCAGGCCGTTAGCGGTTGATTTCGTGCAGGGTTTTATCCTAGCCTTTTATCCCTTTTCTGTTTCTTACAGAATAAGAGCACTGAGAAAATTGGATCGGATGAAGTACGTCCTCGAAGGTTTCAAGATCTATTTTTAAGAACAATTCGCATTTTTTTATAAATTTGGTTTTCGATTCATTCACCAAGCTCGAATATTATCCTTCGTTCAATATTGCTATTGATTTCTGGTTCTAGGTCCCGACAATTGGTTGTCGGCGTTACACCACCTTTTGGTTGGAGATGTCCAAATGCTAGTTAGTTTAATCTGAGTGATGGGCGAAGTGAAATCAGCGTCTTTACATGTGACTTCGTATCTATATAACATTCTTAAAATTAAAGCAGACATTTAAATACCCTACGTTGCGTCTAGGATTCGGAATTGTATCTGAAAACACCTCGTTTGCTAGATGAAGTTTAGAAATCGCTTTGTGCATAATGTGAGATATACTGAAAGAGTAACGCTTCGAATACGAAAGAAACTATGTTGGACATCCGTGGCAAATGTTCGCAAATGCATTCATCGGAATACAGTCAGCTCAAAATCGGATTGGTATTTGTAAAACTGATATAGCATCAAAGCTGAAACATGCATAATATGTGATCTTGCAGCAAGAGTGAAATTTAACTGCCTTATAAACGTCATTTTTAATCCCCATTCAATTCACTAAATCAGGAATTTTACGAAAAGTTCACTTTTTCCTCTGTTTTCCCTGACCTTTGAAGCCAGTAGCCGTAAGGTCAACTTGTTACAAGGCATAATTAACCACGCCTCTTGAGAAATTTATCCAACAGAAACTAGCCAGTGCCATCTAATTTTTTTATTTCGTTTTACAGAAAATCCATGAAGAACTTGAAGAACTGAAGAATCGTGTAAGTCATTCCATCCGCTTACTTTCACTTAGTCTATGCTTGGTGTGATTTGGATTAGCCGCACGTTTAGATTACCTGAGTAATGCCGATCTTTTGAGTTATACACTCTGAGATTTTTACCCACATGTAACTCGTAAAATTGTTTCACATTCAAGCAAGCCTTAACTACGGAAACTATGCTCATAACCGGGGTTTTTATGTTGCAGGCAATAATTTTAAGTTCAGGTTTACTAACAATGATCGTTTATTGCAACAGAAATCAAATCAAGGGTCACGCACAGCATGGAGTACCACATGCTGGAAATGTTTAATAATTTCTATACAACATAACTTTGCATAACCAAGGTAACCGGTTTCTTCATAATTTTGTGAAAACACATTCCAGTTCGTAACTCTTACTGAACCACCGCACGAGTGATTCTTAATTTCTGGGTGGAGAACATTGTGTTCTGAGTGACTTCGTGGCTCCTGTCCGAGCATTTTTCAGACGCAAACTTCTACACCTCTTTTACCACTCCTTGCCTGATTCATATTTGCACTTCATCTACGTTTTACCTGTGTTGGTTAAACACCAATGGTTTTATCTCCATGTTGCTAACTTTGTTCAAAAGTTGCCCGATTGAGTTCCAGATTCAAGCACATGATAATTATTTTGTGGTAGTCCGACATCTAAGAAAACTATAAAACATGCACAGATTCTTGTACTCGAAATAGTTCGAGATCATTGCTGCTGTTACTGCTCAGTACCGTGCTTATAATGGCAAAAACCCGATTCACTTTTTCGTTATAAAGTCCTTTTTGATTATAGGTTGAACATTTTCTGGGGCTAGAATGATAAAAAAATAAGTTTAATTGAAGATAAAAAATTATGGCCACACGTTGGATAACTGTTGGAAACCATTAAATTGCCTACTTTGTTTTGGAGTATGAATCATAAAGAGGTTTATTTTTCAGATACGCTTCCTAAGTTTCTTTACCCCACTGGAGTTTTGCGGAGCGGTTGCGTAAGACGGTCATTTGTTTATAATATTGATCAATGAATCGTTCGATAGTCCACTGATCATGATGGATGAATGAACTGCATACAGCAAGCACGGACAGGCGGCGCTAAGTGTCCGCGATCTGACTCTCATTGCAGACTATTGACTATGCATCAATGACATTCTACCAAGGTGGTACTGAATTTCTCCAAATTATAAAGTCCGGTGGACTTATTTGAAATCGCAACATGCCAATCGCCCTCACTCTCATTGTGCAATAGTACACCATGGAGTGTTGCTCCTTTATTGCCGTGTCCTTGAAGCCGTTTTGCAAGAATCCCCCCAGTCACCGTTCTATGTAATATATGCGATAAAACACTTCCGTGATTTAAATTTGTCCTTCACCATGCCACTGTGGTTGAGATCCGCGACAGGGTACGGTGTATACTGAAATTTTTTAGCTGCCATGACGACGGCCCAATTGGGTGAATTGATTATTTTCACAACGAACGTTTTGCCTCAAAGATTGACAAAATCACAAGGTAACTTGGAATAGTAAGTGACAGGACTCGGGAATGTCAGAGTAATGAAACCAATTAATCAATTACTCAGAGCGACGATGGAACTTCATTGAAGAAAAGGTTTTTTGGGCAAGCAGGTCATCTTAATATCAATAAATTAAGGGTAGCAACTATATTTACTTGGTACCAACATTTTAGTTGCAGTAAATGAAACTGAGCAGATGTCACAGCTTGATGTATAACTAAAAAGTGCAATGCTTTGGTAAGCCCGTCCGGAGAGCAAATGATTGGCTCCCTTTGCAGCGCAAACTCACCAACCGGAAGTCCGTTGCCACCATTCTAAAAAAAACCAGGTCAGACGAAGACGTCATCTTACATTGTCTACCGCCCAAAACGGCCACCCAGATGCACGGAAGTACAGCTCTCCTGCATTCAGCATGATGATAGAGAAACTAAGCCTTTTTACAGTAATCTATGGAGTGCTTTATACGCCCAAGCCACGAGCACAGCCTATTTATATTGCGTTCTGTTCTATCCAAAGACGACTCAATAAAATATATGAGCCGAAAATGGTAGATCTTTCCCGCTGGAATTTCGAAACTTGTGTGCACAATTGGCGTCAGTGTTTGCGTTTCTTTGCACGTCTGAAATTGAACAGTGCTCTCGTTACCTTTCGTCCGATAAAGGAGAGAATATTAGGGCCTTGGATTTCGTGAGTTGTTTATTCTGCATGTGGTGTAGTTTTCCAGTTATACATTCGGCCGTCTGATCGTGCAAAAATAATTGGGTCGAAAATTCCCTAATGAGGTTTAGTTCGCGTGTTCTCTACAGTCATATTGATGTCGTATTGGTGTCATCCAATAACCTTCAGGTCTTTCATGCCTACGCAGCAGGTTGTTTTAATAAAGAATCAGGGTCTTGTTCAAGGTATCAGTTTTTGGGTTTTCAAGTGAGTTGATCACTCTCGAAATGTAAGCGTGCAGGTAGAATCATCATCATCATCATCATCATCATCGACAGCGTGACATCAGTGTTCAACACTGTTGCTTCACTGCCGTACATGATTTGGATAAAACCGTTACTTGGGTCCAAATAACATACGATTCGTTTGCTCATTCTACATCAGTCTAATAACAAAAACCGGAATAAATTGGGAATAATATACCCTCGTGCTGCAAAATCGTTCCCAACTTCATGTGTCCGCATACGCAACAAAGACTGCCAGCGACTTGTCGTTTACGATACAGATTAACCATCGTTTGGTGTTCAACGGTCGTCAGAATTTTTTTTTGTTTCCAGTCAAACGCGATATGGCATCTGCACAATATCACACGCTTTTTGTCCCCATTCCTCTCACTGTAATCAAGGCATTTTCGCTTTTTCGAGTTTCATACCGAATAAATGACAAGGTCAAACAGAACATTTTAATTCATACCTGACATGCCTGTTTAGTACTCGTTGCTGATCATCACTCATTTTTCATCTTAATCTTAGGATGCGGAATGTTCTGCGGCCGGTGACAAACCAACAGCGTCGACAGTGGGAGTAAGTGGATATACATTATCGTCGGTCGTTCGAAGTGCTTAGTCGTTCAGAGTTAGCACTGGACAGAAACCTTGCTGGCCGAATTGTAAAAAAAACATCACAGTATGCATCCGTGTTTTCAGTGGCTGCCTGACACTCAAATAACCATTCTGAACACCGGTGGGCCAAAAATCAAAAGGTGATAACGCCTCAGGAATTTTAAATAACTTGTTCCAAAGAACATCGATTGTGCACTAGCCAGCTCATATTTCGAAAGTAAACTCCCTAAAAATGCTTCACCCGTGATGACGAGGATAGAACATTTTGAAGAGTACCTATTTTTGCACTGTTGATAAGCTCAATACGTCCGTAGTGTTAAGGTGGTCAACCATGTGTTTGTCATCTTCCTCAAAGGGATAAAAAGCACTTTCAATTAATTCACTCAATTTAGCCATAAATTCATTGTAGTCCCGAGGCAGAAATACGTTTTTACAGTCCACTAATGTTAGTGTCATCAATGGTGTGCAGATAAACGGTATTTGGGCACCATAAATCATATTTATAGCTTTCAGGTAGGAGAAATAGCGTGAATACAGGTATGTGAGAGTCCATGTTTAAAAAAATCCTGACCATTCACTGATAACGGGTGACTTTTTTGCATTTCTTCGTAGTTGTTCACGCCCATGTCCATTCTTCGGCAAGCGCGCATCTTCCATGCTTTGCAGCTTTGTTTTGCGTAAAAATCATTCTTAAGTATACGGCTTATCAGTCAGCTGAAGTTCGTACCGTACAATCCAGCTGAGCATTATGTGGCTTGCTACCTGACTAAAGAATCAAAATAATTCAGCCTATTCAAATGTAGCCGCATTCACCACATAATCCGGAGGGACTGTATTTTAGTAGACCATTAGGCGTTATATTTGAGGTGCGTTTGAGTGGTGTCGGTCTTGTTGATGTAGTACTACCGTGGTAAGACGTACTGCACGTAGGCGTTTTTCTGAAGTTTAGTGTCATACGACTAGCAGACCGCAAAAATGACGAGTCCTTCAGGCTGAATTTTCCCCGTCTTTTGATGGTGAACTTTCCTTTTCGATGTCTATTAGATTCAAACATTTCGTTCGGAAATTAAACCTGTATATTTTTTCAGGTTAAAACCTCGTTGTTTGAACTTTCACACCACACAACGCTGAGTTCTGTGGACAAAATTGAATCCTAACCAAAAGGCTTTGAAGTACGCAGTGCATGTTCACGTTATTTATATCTTACCGCTTGTCACGAACAAAGTAGCTGAACTTTGTCCGTTGTTTGACGTCAAACCGTTTGTCTGGTATCGCCTACCCGTCTGTCTGGAATGAAAATCTGTGACGCAACGTCTCACGTTGTTGATACTGTACTACTGCTTAAGTGTCAGCATATGGGATCCGCAAACATTTCATCGGAAGTTGACAGCGTTATATCGGGCACATTTAGGAAGTAACTTCAAGAACTTAGATACCTGTATCCTGATTCTCGGACTCAATAAATACTTCAAGGGATTAAATCAAGTTGTATACGTATTTATCCAACAGCTGAATCGTTTGCCCGACCGAACACCGAGGAATTCATACTTCTTTGCTGTAAGGCCTTTGTGTTTTCCACACTATCTTCCCCCGTTTAGCAGAAACTCATCTTTATTTCCTTAGCGCTTTCCTCTGAAATGCTCAATGGTGATATTTGTGTCACTGAAACTTTTGTTCTAGCTGCCCAGTGCTACTGCTGAAACCTCTGGGTCCCTTCTTTCTACTTATACGTGTTCACTCACCGGAAGACTAAAGGACAAAGTTTACTTCAGTTGACTTAATAGTTAACCTAAAGCAAGCCATGTCCGCCACGAGTCATCTTTCTGAACACTACCGACTTGGTGGGATGCAGTACTGTGGCCAAACTGGACAGCCATTTCGTACTATTAAGATTGAAGTGGTCTGCATTTTTCAGACGCTCCATGTGCATGAACCTTTCAGTTGTACAGATTAGCTAATAGTGTTTCATCGTACCTGCAAAAATTGTTTCACAGTAATTAACTGGGATTGATAAACTGTGAGCGGTGCCAATTGCCTTAAAATGTTTGCTGACGTACATCTCATAGGACTAGATCGTTTGTCAGTTTCCGCCAGCTCATGGAGCAGACCGTTTCTCTGAATCGTTTCTGAGAAAAACAGCTCTCAATGATCCTCCTTAATACGACGCTACTGTAGTCACTAAAAACGGTGTAAGTATTCTCGTACAATAATAAACCTGACCAAGTTTCATGTAAACGGACAGGATCGCCTTTAACGAAAGGAACTACGTGGATCGGTTAAAATTTTGAGTCTGACAAATTTGCAAGCACTGATGTAACAATGTCCTTACTATATCACCTCTATGCCACTCAAATTAAGTACGATGATGTTCCACCCTTCATGCCATGTTGATCTTACCTTGGAACATTTACATAAATGTGAGTACTGGCTTTTGAAAGTTCACTGTCTGTTTTTCTAATTCCAAGGGTTTTGGTTTCGATGACACCGACTCCCTGGCAAATTGGAACAAAGAGGTAGGCATATTGCATTAGTCAGTCTTTCGAATTCGGTCACTTTAATCAGTATTTTCATGAAATGGTTCGTCATTTGGTATGTTTTGTTCTACAGTTTAAAAACATCGAAATTTTGCAGCTCTGTGGTTATGACCGGACTGACGTATGTTTCATAAAGTGTTACCATGGCGTCCACAATCTTTTGAATATTTCAGCTTCGGCTTAACCCGGTTAAATCAAACTCTGACCAAAGAACATTCAGTTGACGGATGGTACTAACTCACAATAAGGCTACCCTCATTGAGTGTGAACATAGATCCTCGTTCGATAAATGCAGTGTCAGTTGTTCTTTGGCGAATATAGACAAGACTGTCACAATTTTCTGTAGGTATTTAATTTTATGAAACTTTACTTCTTCATTTATTGTCAGTAACCGGATTAAGTTATTTCTCTGCAAATACGCTACATTCAGGGTTTGTCGCGTTTCTGATCATGCCCCGATCGTTCTCCGATGCAGTCGTGGGCCAGCCAGCAACTAGTTCACCAGGCTGTAGTCATCGGTAAATCAGGGAGATAACATCAAACTTCTGTGTAATTATTTTTTGCAAACTGAGACGTTTAGCTTACTTGACAGTAATATTTTTGCATATTTATAAGAAGCTACATTATACTGATCTGTCTTTTATTATGATGTTGCAACCATTATCGGGAATGAAGGCAAAATGTCCCTCCTATTTCTAGTACGCCTTTGTTACAGAATTCGATCGCAATTACTCTCAGTATTCCTGAGTTGTCCCGATGGGTTTTCTTCTTGGTGACCATTATAAACTGAATATTTTCTACTTTCCGTAATTTGTCATCATCTATCTAAGGCTTGGCCAGCCGTCTTTTTGTATATCCGTAGCAGCTACAATCTGAAAAAGAAAATATTCAAACGTAGTGGCTTGAGCACCTTGAAAAGCTACTGTCAAACAATAGATGATGGTTGATTTCCCTGATTGTACAGTTCCATAAACTTGACCACATCAACCGAACTGATTAGCTGCTAAGTGTTTTGGATCACGGTGTGCTCAAGTATCACCAGCTTACTCACGACCTCGTATATAACCTCGCGTGGATTACTCCTTTAGTGAAATCTTGGCTACTAATTTGGAAGCAACCATCGTGCCAAGGACAATATGTACTCCCAACTTTACTTTTAACGCAAACGGCCACACTTCGTTGTCAAATGAATATTTATACTTCTTGCCGTCTCGAATGCCCTAATATTTTTGCGTTTCCGAATACTATAAGCAAAGTCGGGCCTTCAGGGTACATGTGGTAACTTGCAATTTACCTATTCCAACTTTACAAAACTAGCACTGGCTATGGGGCAAGACTTGAATGAGCAACCAAGCATGCAATTTTTTCTTGTTGAGGATAACTGCATGAATATAGCAGAAACCAAGATGCCACTTGCTTCTTTTTAAGAGTGTCATTTTTTATATTCACGAGTGCATGATCATTGCGTAGATTGTTGTGGGTGCATAAATAGGATCTACTGAAAATAATTATGATTGTTATGCACTGTGTGTGTCGAAACTTCTATTTATAAAACTGCACGTACGTGTTATAGAATGAATTGTTCAAGTTTAACATCCTAGTGAAAACATTCCAGTCCCTTCATGAGTGCTAATTATCCTAGGTGTGAGTCGCTCGGAAACGCTTTGCTTGCTCTGCTTAATTGATAACAGGATGCCAATTCGTAAACCTACAGTTTAACTAACGACCCAGAACAATGGCATGTTCATACATATCATTTACAGTATTAGGCTTTAGAAAGTTATTTTGAAGCATCACATCCAGACTAAGTTGCTTTTATGTTTCTCTGTCATTTTTGTCCTTCCCAAATCGGATCCGTTTTTCTTTCGATTTCGGGTCTTGTCGTTTGAGTATATCGTACGGAAAAACATAGCCTAGGCTTTTTCCCTTGTTGACTTAAATAACCCTTTTCTTCGTGTTCCGCACAGTATACTCCTAAGCCACAACTGGTCAAGTAAGTTCATCCAAGTCTCATCAGTGCATGCTGATAGCTTGTGTAATAAGTTCGAGGTTGCCAGTTTGTTCAGTTTCTTGACGTGATTTTTAACTGCCTCTTCCCGGTAAACAAATCACAGACCCAAATATGTACTGAACATGTTGATTCCCCACCGTTTTCAACACGTGTTTTTCCTCGTGGTCCACTTTGTGAGAGTCGTAGCATCAGTCTGGTCTTCAGAGGCACAACGTGCTTCCACGAAATACTTGAAAGTTTATCATAATTAATCTCGGTTAAATCAAACTCTGACCAAAGAACATTCAGTTGACGGATGGTACTAACTCACAATAAGGCTACCCTCATTGAGTGTGAACATAGATCCTCGTTCGATAAATGCAGTGTCAGTTGTTCTTTGGCGAATATAGACAAGACTGTCACAATTTTCTGTAGGTATTTAATTTTATGAAACTTTACTTCTTCATTTATTGTCAGTAACCGGATTAAGTTATTTCTCTGCAAATACGCTACATTCAGGGTTTGTCGCGTTTCTGATCATGCCCCGATCGTTCTCCGATGCAGTCGTGGGCCAGCCAGCAACTAGTTCACCAGGCTGTAGTCATCGGTAAATCAGGGAGATAACATCAAACTTCTGTGTAATTATTTTTTGCAAACTGAGACGTTTAGCTTACTTGACAGTAATATTTTTGCATATTTATAAGAAGCTACATTATACTGATCTGTCTTTTATTATGATGTTGCAACCATTATCGGGAATGAAGGCAAAATGTCCCTCCTATTTCTAGTACGCCTTTGTTACAGAATTCGATCGCAATTACTCTCAGTATTCCTGAGTTGTCCCGATGGGTTTTCTTCTTGGTGACCATTATAAACTGAATATTTTCTACTTTCCGTAATTTGTCATCATCTATCTAAGGCTTGGCCAGCCGTCTTTTTGTATATCCGTAGCAGCTACAATCTGAAAAAGAAAATATTCAAACGTAGTGGCTTGAGCACCTTGAAAAGCTACTGTCAAACAATAGATGATGGTTGATTTCCCTGATTGTACAGTTCCATAAACTTGACCACATCAACCGAACTGATTAGCTGCTAAGTGTTTTGGATCACGGTGTGCTCAAGTATCACCAGCTTACTCACGACCTCGTATATAACCTCGCGTGGATTACTCCTTTAGTGAAATCTTGGCTACTAATTTGGAAGCAACCATCGTGCCAAGGACAATATGTACTCCCAACTTTACTTTTAACGCAAACGGCCACACTTCGTTGTCAAATGAATATTTATACTTCTTGCCGTCTCGAATGCCCTAATATTTTTGCGTTTCCGAATACTATAAGCAAAGTCGGGCCTTCAGGGTACATGTGGTAACTTGCAATTTACCTATTCCAACTTTACAAAACTAGCACTGGCTATGGGGCAAGACTTGAATGAGCAACCAAGCATGCAATTTTTTCTTGTTGAGGATAACTGCATGAATATAGCAGAAACCAAGATGCCACTTGCTTCTTTTTAAGAGTGTCATTTTTTATATTCACGAGTGCATGATCATTGCGTAGATTGTTGTGGGTGCATAAATAGGATCTACTGAAAATAATTATGATTGTTATGCACTGTGTGTGTCGAAACTTCTATTTATAAAACTGCACGTACGTGTTATAGAATGAATTGTTCAAGTTTAACATCCTAGTGAAAACATTCCAGTCCCTTCATGAGTGCTAATTATCCTAGGTGTGAGTCGCTCGGAAACGCTTTGCTTGCTCTGCTTAATTGATAACAGGATGCCAATTCGTAAACCTACAGTTTAACTAACGACCCAGAACAATGGCATGTTCATACATATCATTTACAGTATTAGGCTTTAGAAAGTTATTTTGAAGCATCACATCCAGACTAAGTTGCTTTTATGTTTCTCTGTCATTTTTGTCCTTCCCAAATCGGATCCGTTTTTCTTTCGATTTCGGGTCTTGTCGTTTGAGTATATCGTACGGAAAAACATAGCCTAGGCTTTTTCCCTTGTTGACTTAAATAACCCTTTTCTTCGTGTTCCGCACAGTATACTCCTAAGCCACAACTGGTCAAGTAAGTTCATCCAAGTCTCATCAGTGCATGCTGATAGCTTGTGTAATAAGTTCGAGGTTGCCAGTTTGTTCAGTTTCTTGACGTGATTTTTAACTGCCTCTTCCCGGTAAACAAATCACAGACCCAAATATGTACTGAACATGTTGATTCCCCACCGTTTTCAACACGTGTTTTTCCTCGTGGTCCACTTTGTGAGAGTCGTAGCATCAGTCTGGTCTTCAGAGGCACAACGTGCTTCCACGAAATACTTGAAAGTTTATCATAATTAATCTTGCTTCTGTGGCATGTCTGAACACTCATCGGCCTTTGCGAAATTGATTGAGTGATTGACTGGCCTGGATGCATGCCGGCTTCAGTGGGTTCAAGGCATTCTTGGGCTACTTTCAGGAATCTGACCTTCCGGATGAGTTCGTTTACTTGCGTAGCTGCACAATATGGAAAGATGAAATCGCCTCCCAATCTGGGTAGCACAGAGTAGCGTTTACCATACTCTAAAATTTTTTTTGCCTAGGTGACATCAGTCTAACTGTCGAGGGTGAATTGTACAATGCTGCATCCCGGTCGGTCCTAGTCTATGAACTAAAGACTGCTGCATGTGAAAGACTGAAAACTTTCTGTGTTTGACAATTAGTGCCTCTGAAGCATTGTGCGGGTCTAGTAGGAGCTTCAAATCAGTAATGCTGAGGTACGGCAGATAGTTTCCGGAAACTTAGCTGAAACTTTTCAGAAACTTAGTCGCACTCCGAAGGTTACGTTGCTAAAGTCATGTTTTTCGTAAACCAGATTACTTTATGCATTGTAGAGCTATCTTCACTCAGCAATGTATTGCATATAGACGGGCCAATGGCGACCGATCGTCGCTTAGCAAAGAAACATGAAATTTCATACTAGTCAACTCAGTAGCGTT